GGGTGGGTTCACGGTACACGAATCCCACCTAAACAAAGCCACTAACGTGTTGTCAGAGAGGTCTCTCTTGTGCAGAACGTACACGGGGCAGGAGAGCGGACAACAAACATGTCGCAAAGAAAGTGGGACTGAGGGGACTAGGGATGAGGACTTGGCTGAGGTGGTCGGGGAGGCCTCTGGGGAAAGGGGACGTCTGGCTAAAACCTGAGCGACGGGAGGCAGTCAGCCATCAGGGAGAGGAACATTCTAGGCACAAGGCGTAGCAGAGGAAGGGCCTGAACTGGGACAGGCTTTGGCCTGGTAAGTGGACCGAAGGTATGTGGCGTGGCTGGACCCCACAGAACCAGCCTGAGTATCCCGGCCGGTTCCAGTATCCGAAATGGAAAAGGCTGCGAGAACGGTGAGGAAGAAATGCAGTGCGGCAGGTCAGACACGCGGCCGCAGGGGTGAGTCTAACCAGGCTTTCGGCTGCCTGCTGCAGGGCCCACGCTCCCCCCACCGCGCCCAACGCACCGCTCCCGAGGCTCCAGCTGGCCCAGGGAGCCCGCTCCTTTGCCCACGGCCCCCCAGTTCCTGAGGAGGAGCTTTCTGCCCATCTGCAACCCTGCACCCCATTTCTTACTAGGCCCTAAGGGGCCTGGCCCACCCTGGCAGGGGACTGAGAGGCCCACGGGCAGGAGCTCAGCAAGAAATGAAGGGATCAGAGCCACCCATGACACTTCAGTTTGTTAGGGGCTTTGTGAACCCCCACAGCGCTGCTGTCCAGCAGGGCTGGAAAGGCCACTGTCCGGGCCGAGCAGAGGCCTCAGTGGCCAGGGGCACTGCTGGCCTGCTTTCGGGCTGAGTCCATTTCCTAGGGCTTCTACCCTTCTGGGCGACAGCTCTGAGGAGCAGAGCTGGGACTAGGAGCCACGGATGTGTAAACTGAGGCCTTAACAGACTAGGCGGCTTGCCCACGTCCCCACTAGGGCACCTGAATGGCCCAGTGCTCTCGCTGCTTGTCCTCCCGGGGCATCTCGGGCTCCAGAAGTTGTCCGCCTGCAGCCACCACGCCACCCGGCCCCGCGGAAGCCCGCTCTTCCCTCCATCCCACCCTACCCTGGCTCCCCGGGCTGCTTGGGATGGCCAAGCACCAAAAGCAGGTACCAGCCACCACTCTTTGAGGAGCATGGTCCTCACTTGCCTGCTGGGGTTCCCCCTTCCTTCAACCCCTGTCCACCATGCCAACGAGAGGCGTCCACCCAGAACACCTGGAGTCAGCACTCACAGCTCTGCTGGCCGCCGGCCCAGGCCACTGTCTCCTCCTGCTCACACTGTGAGAGCAGCCTCCCTTCTGGCCGCCACCCCCAACCCCCGACACACTCTGTTCTCCCACGAACAGAGTCTGAGCCCTCCCATCAAATGGCACCTGATGTGCCTGCCGGCCCTGCCTCCGCTACCTCAGTTCCCCCTGCCTCCCGCTCCCTGGAGATCCCACACCGTCGCCTTTGCTCCATGGAGCGCTCTCGGCTTCCTTCTACGATGGGGCCTTCACCCCGGCCAGCATTCCATCCTTGGGTCAGGCTCTTCCCTGATCTGCGGAGCTGGCTCCTGCCTCTCATTCAGATCTCGGCGCCCCACCTGTCACTATCCCATCAGTAGTTAAAGCCCTGCGTCACACTAATTGTTTCCTTAGCTTTTTGTTTGCCTTGCACTACAGAATCCCCAGTGCCTACCTAGTACACAGCTGGTGTGCAACTCGCACTTATTGGCCCGGGTCAGGGAGCTCTGTTGGTTAGAGCATCGTCCCAGTACTCCGGGGTCGCAGGGTCGATCCCTGGTCAGGACACAAACAAGAATCAACCAACGAATGCATCAAGAAGTGAAACAACAAATCGACCTCTCTCCCTCTCCCGCCCCCTCTCTAAAATCAATCAGTAAAAAATGTTTTAAAAATGCCTGGTGACTAAATTAAGGAGTGAATGAATGATATCTAACTGGCTCTGTGCACACAGACCAAACAAAGCAAACGGCTGGAGCTCAGAGTTCAGCTCGGTGTCTGCCCAAGTTCACGCCCGTTGGTCCCAGAGCTGCCCATGAACCACAGGCCACACTCCAGCAGCCTATGGGTCAAATCTGACCCACATAAGTATTTTGTTTGACTCATTCTGTTTTTAAAAAAAATTGAGTCAACTTTCACATACAAATATGGATTTTCTGCCTTTCTTGGAAAACAGACAGACATGGCCATAGTGAGTTTCTGTGCTGAAATGACATGACTGTCACTGCCCCTCTGGACAGACACGTTCTCCACCATCCCCACCGCCCTCCAGTCTCTCCGACAGCCAGCACCAGTTGTGTTACCACCGAACTTGCACTACAGTTCTCCTTATAATAAAGACTCTGTGCCCTGGCCGATGTGGCCCTGTTGGCTGGACCACTGTCCTGTTTACTGAAAGGTCGTGGCTTTGATTCCCGGTCAGGGCGCATGCCTAGGCTGCGGTTTTGGTCCCCGGGTTGGGGTGCATACGGGAGGCAACCAGTTGATGTTTCTCTCACATTGATGTCTCTCTCTCTTTCTCTCTAAAAACCAATGACTGCATCCTCAGGTGAGGATTAAACAAAGAACTTTGCTCTGTAACTATGCCTATCCCAAACCTTGGAACATAAAAGTCTGAATGGGTCACATGATTTATTCAGTCAACAAACGTTACTGCTAGCCCACTATGTGCCGGGCACATGATAGGTATGGATATGGAGCAGCATGGATGAACATCCCTCCCTCCCTTTTGCGGGCCTCATTCCAGGCACTGTGTATGTAACTTTCTTCCAACAAGTGGAGAATTTGAGTTGCTCCCCGTCACTGCCCCTGGACACGAGAGGCAGACTGGTGTCCACAGTCACCCCTGAAGACTGGAGTAGAGTACTCACTAAGCACCTACTGTATACTAGCCCCAGCCCCCCAGGATCAGGTACAACCAAGGTGCTCACTAAGTATTTATTGAATGAATGAAATAAATACACCTCTCCCCTAGACACACTCTGTTAGCCAATCTTTCTTCGGAATTTATTAAAAAGATAAGCACACAGTAGATGCTCACTTAATGTCAGTTCACTGAAACAGTGCTGGCTAAGAGCAGAAGGTTGATAGGTAGGCAAGGGCTGCCTGAAGGCAGAGCCCTGGGAGAGGGAAGGGAGGTGAGTATTATTCTCCTCTGCCCCAGTCCACATTCCCCTCGCAGGGACTCTAGGAGGTTGGCAACAGGATTCTCTGGTGACAGAAACCAGGATTGAAAGGAAAGCCCCTTGGCTAAACATACAGGTTCCAGGAAGGAGTGGAGGAGGAGGTTTGTTTGCTCCAAAGGTCCACACTCCCCACTCAGCCCAATGCTCCGCAGAAGTCCTGTGGGGGGGAGCAAAGGCCCTCTGGAAGCCTCCCCAGCCCTTGAGAACCTATCCTCTTTGACTAGATGCCTTAAAGTCCTCTCTTAGTAGGCTACCCCTCTTTTCACTCATGACTTTCGAACTGAGCTAACTCATTTTTCAGACTCATTTCCTCCTAGTCTGTTCCACCAAACATTTCATGTGTGAGGAAAGTGTGTGTGTGGCAGGGGCTCTGAGACGTTTGTTTTCCATGGGGTAGGAAGAGAACTACAAAAAGCAAGGGGTCCCATCTCTGCCCTTACTATGCCATTTGGTAAGAGAAGCTCTGCCGAGGCCAGAGTATCACAGGGACAAGCCTCTTGGAAGCCACCAGGGCGTGGCAGGTTGGGAGGAGGGTGAGTCTTTCCAGCGGGGCCTGGGGACTGGGCAAAGCGTGATGAATGGCTGCAGGGCAGGGGTGGGGGTCTCAAGCAGAAACTCACCAAAAAGTGGGCTATGGGGGGAAGCTGACGTGAGCTGCCTTCCCGGCTGGGCTTGACTTCGTAAGGAGCCCGCGACCCTTTAGCCTTTTTGCACCTAAAATCCATCCATTTGGGACAAATATGTGGGTTTTATGCGTGTGTAACGCATAAAGACCCTGGGGTCTTTCAGGATCTCGGTGGAATCAGAGCAGTTTTAAACACCCCTTCCTCCACGAAGCCTTCCACACTTTCCGGCCGGCGTTCAGCGATCTTCGCTTTCTATTGCGGTGCCTGTCCTCCCAGCGGCCGACGCACTCCTGCGGCCCGGCGTGCCCTCCCGCGCGGAGCCCGCGCCCAGCAAATAGTACCTCTGGGTTGAACCACGAATCGCTCAGCCAGGCCTTTGGAATCCTGGGCCACCTGGACCCAGGCAGGGTTCAACAAGTGTGGGCCGGGCCGCCCGTTCCCGCCCGACGGTTTCGTGCCTCCCCAGGCACCCGGGGCGCGCCGGGCCGGGCTGGACCCAGTTGGGCGAGTTTCATTTCATCACCCCAGAGCGTGCGAGCGCCGGTGCAAATAACGTTGCCTCCTCCCCTCCCCTGCTCCCTCCGAAACTCCCAAACTCCCGTTGGCGAACGCTGCACCCCGGCGGGGAGGTGCGCGCTGGCGGCGGCCCGGCCGGTTGGGCAGCCGGGTGCTGAGTGCCCTGCACCCGCCCCCCGCCCCCGCCCAGCCACCCCGCCCAGGCCGCGAGGCCACCTCACCAGCAGCGGAATGAAAACCGGTTGGACAGGTAACAAATAGGTGGGTTGTCACCGTTATTTCCCAACGCATGCGCTCTAGTTCCCCGGGCCACTCCAAGCTAATTAGCTCAGATCACCCCTGCTCCCCGCCCCAGCCACCAACACACACCGCCGCGAGCCAATAAAGCGTGAACCCGTCCGTCCGGCTCGCACTTTAAGACTTCCCGAGCGGCCGCGGGGGACGCCAGTGAAGCCGAGAGACGCTTACCTGTCGCTCACCCCTCGTCCGGTGCACCTGGCTGCAGTGAACCTCTTTTCCGAGGAGTTGGATACGCGCGCGCGGAGTCCGGGACACGGTCTCTTAGTGGAACCCCGGGGCGCTTTGGCGACTCCTTCCCTGACCTGCCCCCTCCCCTTGGCTGTCTCCAGCCCGGCTCGGGAAACGTGGGACGGCGCCGGCTCTGGTTACGGAAGCGGACGGTGCCGGGCTATCGGGGTTCAAAAATGCCTCGCGCTTTTCTGGTGAAGAAGCCGTGCGTCTCCACGTGCAAGAGGAACTGGAGCGAGCTCCCAGATGAGGAGCGCGGCGAGATCTACGTGCCAGGTGAGTCGCCGGCCCGCGAGCCCCAAGCCCCTCGCTGCCCTCCAGCCTGAGGCCCCGTCGAAGCGGCGGACCTTCGGGCGCAGTGGTGCGAACCTGGCGACCCGCGTAGTTGGAGCGCCGGATTTAATGTTTAAGCGGCCGCAGCCCCGTTAGCCCGCGGCACGGGGGGAGGGGAGGGGAGCGAAGGGGCGGCGGAAGGAGATGCCGGGTGGAGGCTGGGGCTCCTGGTGGGGGCGAGAGCGGTTCTCAGACCCCGCGGCGGGTCCTAGAGCGGGCCAGTCCGAGACGGGTCAGGGGGATGCCGCCCTCCCTCCACCACCCCGAGTCGCGGCGCAGGGGAGGCAACGGGGTGTGTCACCGCTTAGGGGGACCCTCTACTCTCGCGTCGTAAATCCTGAGAGTCGGGACTTTTATGAGGCGGGAAGAGGGCACTGGAGCGATGCCACTTTGGGGGGGGGGCAGGGAGCGAGCTGGAGTTTCGACTGAGATTTGTGAAGACTGTATAAGCCGCCTTCACTGATCGCCCCCTCTTCCCCAGCACATTGGTGGCCAGAAGGTCGCAGTGAGGGTCGGGCCGGTGGGGTGCGCAGAGACCGTGGGGAGGGCACTGGGCTGTACCCTACTTGCCTTGAAGACAGAGGTGGGATCATTTCCTAACGCGCCTCCTCCAACCTTGTGGAGAACACAGTTGAGCTGCAAGTTGTGTTAAGGAGTCCGCCCCGCAAGTAGGGGGCGAGGCCTGGGGGAAGCTCGTGCACCCAGTTTATTTCTGGAAAGCGCCTTGACCGTGGCGTCGGAGTTACTTTGAATAAGTAACCTGAGTTGTTTCCTCCTCCCGCGGCATCTTCCGCAGCCCGGAGAACGCCGCTTCTCCTAGTGGCTCCCCCGCCCCCACCAAAATCTTCCGTCTGGAGAAATCCAGTTTCCTTCCGAACGCCCCCTCCTCAGGCGTTGGGGGTGGAGGGGGGGTGTAGGGAACACCCAGTCCAGCGCCTCCAAGGGGGCAGAGGTTGTAATTAACCAACCGACTCTGACCCTTGATCCGCTGGCTCCCTGGCACCGCCCCGGGCCTTGTGGAAGAGTGTTGAAAAGAGGGCCGTGGTGGCCCTCTCCTACCTCATTTTCTCTCCGGAACGCATTTTGGAGAGGGTGGGTGTAGTGATGAGATCCTGGAGGCCTGACCCACCAGGGTGCAAAGGCCTGAGGCCCTGGGGTGTTTCATAGCCCAACCTTATTTCAATCCCTGAGACGCTTTTTCTGTAGCCTCCTTAAAACAAGGGAATCTGTTCCCTGGCTGGTGCGGCTCAGTTGGTTGGAGTGTTTGCCCCTACACCAAAGGGTTTCAGGTTCAATCCCTAGTTAGGGCACCTACTTAGGTTTCCTGTCCATTCCCCCATGCAGAGGGTCACGGATCAGATGTTTTTCTCCCAAAAAGCAGTGAAAAAATGTCCTTGGGTGTGGATTAAAATTTAAAAAATAACAAACAAGGGACTGTGCCACAAGTCTCTGGTGACGCTGGTGGGTGGGCGAGACAAACAGGGAGATCAGTGGCCCCTCACTTGAGGTGGACTGGGGTGCGGGCCAGGCTTCTGTTCAGTTTCTTGCTGCCCTGAGTTCCCCGGCTGGGGGCTGGCGCTCGCTCACTCGCCAGAAGGGCCTGGTGAGGGCCGTGAGCTGCTTCCTCCCTGCTGCCTCCACCCTCACCTGTGTTTGACTTGCTGCTTAGCTGCTCCTTGGGATCTGATAAACTGAACTTGGACTGTGGTAAAGGTGAGCTGAGAGCCTCGCTGGAGGCTCAGTGTGCAGTTATTTTTAGTTTTATTTCACGTCCCAAACAGGAGCAGATCATGTGTTGGCTTTTACAAAGGACAAAGAAATTCCGTTTGCTGAAATCATTGACTTCTTTCGCCCTAGTGATTTTCCCCATCACCATGCTGGTGGCCACAGTGGGAGTGGCAGCGGAGAGCTTCTGGGTGTCTGTGTCACCCGCTGCCACCGTCCAGGTGAGGGGGCCCTGCAGGCCATTCTGCAGGGTGGCCCCCCGGACGCTGGAGGCAGGTGTGACCTGGAGGGTGCATGCAGGAATTGTGGCACACACCCTCCTGGCTCTGGCAAGGGGTAGTCCTGCGGGGTCAAGTAAAAGGCAGAAATTAAAGAACTTAGTTTTGCCTCAAAAGTCGTGGCTCACTGGAGAGTTTTCCCATAGTTTTTGGAAATGAGAAATGGAATGTTCTCAGGCTACGCTCGGGTACCTCAGATGGCTGGAGGGGTGGGGGATGTTTTGTAGTGGCCTGTCCCCAGGCTGGGCAATCTGTCACCAGCCGACTGTGACCCCAGGAGCCAGCTGGGCACGTTTCCTTCACCCGACTCCACAGACTGGGCACGTTGTGACTAGCTAAGCGTTGACCCCCGCTGTGCCCCAGAGAGAGGCCAGGGAGGGCAGGAGGCTCGGGTGGTGCTGGAGGTCCGACCTTCCTGCCAGGGTCCTCTGCGACCCCAAAGCCTCAGAGAGCTCCTGGAAGGAGTTTCCTTTACTGACTCGGGCGCTGGGCCCCACCTGGCTGGCTCCAGGGCCCCAGTCTGACTGGCACTCCAGCCTCACCCTGAGGCGCAGTTCTAGAGGTCCCCCCACACTGGGACAGAATCTTTTCCCTGGGCCTCACTCCTTCCAAAGCCAGGGAAAAGCCCCAAAGTGGCTGGAGGGCTACGGGGGTGGGGGGGCGGCTCCACGCAGGCTGGGAATGGAGAAGGTGCTTGCAGTGAAGGTTAAAATGCTAACCTGTTTAGGCCCTTCACTCCCCTCTCCCCACCCCCTGGTGGCTCAGCGGTTCTCCTTTGTTATGTCAATATTGACTGTGGAGTGCTGGGAGCAATGCAGGTTTCTTGAGGATGAACCCAGCCACCTGTACCCAGGGGCTAAATTCCATTCCTTGGACTGAAGGGGAAGCTCCGAGCAGGTCCTCCAGGCCCCCTGCTCACAGTGTGCAGTCTCCCAAGGCCAGAAAGGCTCCTGAAGGCAGATGGATCCTGAAAGCTGGAATGACGCCCTCCTAGCCAGGTGCATCCCCGGGGCCTCTTCCAGACCCCAGACCCCAGCCACCAGCCCGTCTGCCTCAGAGCCTCTGCTGGCTGTTCTGCCAGTTCATCAGCACACGCACCCCCACCTCACCTCCACCCCCAGAGGCCAGCAGGCTAGAGACTGGCGATTCCTCAGCCTGGCCCCTGTGGGGCAGTGTGGGGACCTCAGCCATGCACTTTCCAGGCCAAGTTAGAAAGGCAGGTCAGGGTCCCAGAATACACGTGTGGGGCAGGGAAAGACCAGCCTGCTGGTGATGATTCCTATAATTCCTGGGACGTATTGGCAGTGAAGGACGCATAAGCCATGCTCTCCAGGAAGCGAGGCCGGGAGGGTAGAAAGCCAGACAGTGGATGGGGACAGCAGACCATCTTGGGCCTGGGCAGTGGGTTACATGGGACTCCTACCTGCCCCATAGGGTGCCAGGGCCCAAGCTCCCAAGCTGTTTGTCCTAACTTGAGTGGCCCAAGGCCAACTCCTGACCATTTGTCCCAGAAAGAGAGCTGGTGAGGGCAAGCCCTCTGGGCACAGGGAGGACCGAGCAAAGTGTGGACTTTGTTGCTGTCGGGGTCCCTCCTGAACACCGTTCACCTCCAGCAGGTCTCGTATGGAGTCCCACGGGGATGCTCGCTCCGTGCTGGACCAGGAGGGCGGGAAGCAGGCAAAGGGAGCGTAGCCCCCTGCTGCTGGCCGGGGCTGTGTGAGGGCCGTGGGGCGCCATTTCAACCTCACGATGGACGCGGCATGAGAAGTGGTTGGGAACAAGGTAAAGATAATGCCTGAGAGAAAAACTTGGCATTCACAGAATGGAAATGCCAGGCCAGAGACAGACCCATTGTGTTTCCAGGGCTGCGGCCTTGGCAGTTGGCTGGCACTGGCTTTCTTTTGGGCATTGCCGGCTGACCTGGTGGGGCTGAAGGAGACTGGTACAGGCCCCCTGCCCTTGCTGATAAGGGTGTCGGGCTGCCTACGGCCAACCGGGCTGTGCTTGCCCAGCGCCAGCTCATCACCAGCCCTGTGGTCATATCAGGTTTCCTCACGTCTGCTTCACTTGCCATCTTTCTCCGGAGAGCTGGGGACCAGCCCTGGTGCCCAGCGCCAGCCTGAGGCCTTAGATGGAGCAGGGCTCATACTCTGTCTGGTGTTCGGGCCAGTAGCTTTCAATCCAAAAGAGATGGGACTTGCTGAGGGTGAGGGAGGGGAAGGCCCTTGGGTGGGAAGCGGCTCAAGGTTGTACAGGTGGAGACAAGTTGGGCCAGCAGAAGGGGAACCTGCAAACCCCCCAGGGAGTGAGGAGAGGGCCAGGGCGGTTTGGCCTTGCCACACTTCACAGCTGTGGGCGGGCAATGAGTAGCCACAGTGGCCACCGCCTTGCCGGAAACATCTAATTAGGGGACAGAGCCGCACAGGCAGGGCCCAACCAGTTCTGCTTCCTGCCTCCTGCCACTCAGTGATACCGGTGACAGGAGCGGCACGCGGATGAGCCTCCCTGTGCGTGCAGCAGCATCAGGGACGCGCTCGTGGGGGCGGTGGGAAGACAGGTTTGGCTGGTGGCTGCGATGAGGCAAACAGCCCCACCCTGGCAGTCCGGCTGCCCGCTCTGGAGGTAGAGGGGTAGAGGGGCACAGAGGCCAGGCCAGAGGGGGCTCACAGCGTCCCCAGTCCCTCGACACCTCCATCTCCAGGTTTTGGTGAAATAAAAGAGGCAGGCTCACCATCTCCTCCCGAACTGGCTTGGACCTTCGGAACCCGAATATGAACCCCCCACCCCCCCATCCACTGGAGCAAGGGAACCGAGAGTAGCAGCTCCCTCACTGCAGTCCTTGTGCAGGAGGTTTGGCCCGGCCCAGCTCTCCTGAGCCTGGCTCACGCCCTCTGACACTGAAAGACAGAAGAGGGTGGACGTTTCTGTTTGTCTCTGCCTGGATGGAGACAAACCGCCCCCCTCCTATATGTGCAGACCACCGTCACTGCAGCAAGAGGGACCCCCAAGAGCTCAGGACTGGCTTCTAACCACTGGGGACTCGGGGAGGCGCCACACCAGCTCAGAGGCCAGGCGGGGGCCAGGCACCGGTGAATCAACTCCCAGAATGAGGTGGCTCGTTAAAGTCCCCCGGACAGACGGACGCCAGTGCCTGCAGAACGGGTTCTGGGCGGCGGGCTGGTGCATCTTCCCCTGTCGGACCTTTGTTGTGTTTTGAGGGGGCGAGAGCCCGGGCCTCTCCCGAAACTGTGTGGCTTTGGTGCTCTCCTGTTCACCGGCCATCAGTGCGTTCCCCTGCCTTCCCTTCCCTCTTTCCGCCCCCAGCGGGCCTCGCCGCAGTGTCCCGGGAGAGCAGGTGAGGGCAGCGGCCCCCTGCCCTGGGGCCCGGTCCACGCTGGCTCACCAGCTGTGGGCAGCCAGGTCCCAAGGACCTGACACCCTAGTTCGACCCTCTCAGTCCCTCTCCCTGAAGCTCGTTCATTCTTTCTTTCTTGGCCTCTCTTGATTTTTCCTTCTGAGGCTTGGAAAATGTTCCCCACGTATGGATTTCAAGTACAGAGCTTAACTCTTGTGGAAGAAAAATCTTGACTAAACTGAAACACTGGATTGTTTGCCCCAGCTGTCAGTTCGAGACTTGTTTCCTCTGTGTCACTCAGAACTCTTCCTCCTCCTCCCTCGTCAGGACTGGGGCCAGGCCTCCCCGGCCCCGTTTGGTGTGAGGTGTCTGTCGCAGGGAGTGGCTGTGTCAAAGGCTGCCAGGTATCGGTGCTGCGGAGGGCGGGAGCCCAGCCCTCACGGTGCCACACAGCGGTCCCTGCTGTGGGGAAGGGTTGCGCAACAGCCGGGCAGGCGGCCCGGGAGACTGTTACGCAGCATCCACCTGCTGCTCCCTGACCTCCTCCCTGCTCCACCCCACCTGGCCTGTTTGCCTGCCAAGCTGGGCCCTCGGGAGTAGGGAGCCTGGAGCCCTGGTGGGCCACAGTGGCAGGGACTGGTCGGTCTGGAGAAGGAAGGGGCCAGGAGCACCCCTCCCCCAAGGCCAGCAGTTCAATCTGCCTGGGGGAGAGGCCAGGAGTGGCCCAGGCCACCAGGAACCCTTCTTGGGCGGGGACCAGTTCCTGTGCGCAGGGCCTCCCGTGGTGCCCTTTGTCCAGGCAGGAGCATGGACGAGGCCTGGAATCCAGAGGGACTGGCCCAGGTGGGGTCGGCAGACAACTCTGGAGGGATAATTGGTAGGGCAGGTTTGGTCCTCCCAGTTCCGCTAAGACACAAATTACTCAGCGGGCAGACCTGTGGGTCGTGGCGCTTGGCTGGTGTCACCTGTAATCACCCTAATGGGGCAGCAGGGAGGTGCAGCCTGTAGTTGGGCTGAAGGGAGGCCTGCTCTGCCGCATGCCTGTGAGGGGTGGGATGGAGGCTGCAGGTTCCGGCCAGCTCGTTGCCAGGGAGCCTTCCCGAAATACTATGGAATCCTCGTTGTCTCCACCAAGCCCCTTACCCGGCTCTCCTTCTCTCTGCAGTCAGCCTGGGCTTCTGTTCAGCACAGCCCTACCGGGAACCGGAGCCCTCGGTGGCTGAGCCCCCTTCTTGTCCCCTGGCTTTGGACATGAGCCTGCGGGACTCCAGCTATAGCGTGGCTTCTGGACCCTGTGTGGTGGCCCAGCTGCCCTCTGAAGACATGGGCCGCTTGGCAGACGCCCAGAGCAGAGACCATGGCTTCTTGCGCACCAAGATGAAGGTACTGACCTCACACTGTCTGGAGGAGGGAGCTGTGCTGGCAGCCCTGTGTGCAGCCTGGAGGGTGGCACACATGAAACTAGGTAGACACTGGCCCTGGTCCTGGGTCCAGGCTTCTGCAGAGAAAGTGAACCTCGCTGGGGCCCAGAAAGGGGTTGGAAAGGAAGAAAAGTGGGTCCAGTGTGAGAATGACTGGCATGTGCCGGGAAGAAGCAGTGGGGTTCCAAAGACATTTAACCCTTTGGAATCCATTCTGGGACTCAAGGAGAGCCCTAAGGAAAGCCACCTCTTTACACTGAAGTCCTGGCAAAATCAGGGAGACGGGGGGGCCAGTTTAGCAGCTTCTCCTAGCCCCCTGTCTGGGCTGCAGTGCAAGTGAGGTCTGGAGTCTGCTGGGTGGCTGACTGCCCACCTTGCCCAGGTGTGCCTCTTGTGATAGCCCTGGAGGCCTTGCATCTAGGGCAGGCCTGGCGGGTGTCCCGCTGTGCTCAGCAGTGGAAGCAGGAAGTTGTGCACCAGGCAACGGAAATGCCGGTGCTTTCGAGGAGCGTGCACAAACAGCAGGGTTGTCCCTGGCTGGACCTGCCTTCTGGAGAGCTCCAGAATGGGGAGCACCTGCCAGAACTGGTCTAGTTGAAGGGCTCACAAAGCACTGTCCTGTGTGCCAAAAGACTGGGAGAAACTGGCAGGGGCACTGTTCCTTCCTCTGTCACCTGCAGAGGCCAAATGTGTGTTGTAACTCAAGGGGAACCACCGAGACCTATGCCGGACTGGCCGGAGAGCCAGCATAGTGCTCCTGTCCCCTGCACAGTCCCCCTCCCAGCCTTGGGCCCCAGTTAGTAGAGAGGGGGGACAGAGCCCAGAGGCTGCGGGAGAGCCGGTGTGCTGGAGTGACTAGCTGGCAACAGCAGGCATGTAGCCAGTGCCCGAGCAGTGCAGGAGGAGGGGGAGTGGTGTGGCCAGGTGCACTCGGTGCCCAGGGGCCCAGGAGGCATTGCCAGCAACAGGCATCCCACAGAGTGCGAGCAACCTCAACACTAACGGAGGTGGAGCGCTGCGACCGCATCTCCACTGCTGGATAGATTTGAGATTTGCTGTAATTGCAAAAAAGAAAAAGGAAAATGCTTATAAGCGAGAGAGTTATTAGAATAGCAAAGGGACTCAAACCATACCACGTCAGGCCTGGCTCAAGTAAAACCAGCAGCCGGGCTGCCCCGGGGGCGCCTGCGGGCTCACAGTGGCGGCCTCAGCCCGGGAAGGCTGCCCGACAGACCACGCCGCCCCGTCCTAAGGCGCAGAATGAGAAAGTACAGGGAAGGGTGTGGGCTCAGTGGAGGGAGAACTTTCTAGCAGGTACAGCTGCTGAGGATGGATTGGGCTGTTTATGTAGGGATTTGGCTGCTCATCTCCAGAAAAGACAGGGAGTCCCCTTGAAAGGGGACTCGGGAACCGCACAGGAGGCAACACTACCTGAAGGTTCCTCCAGCCCAGTCTCCGCTCGTCTCTGTGAGCCGTGGCACAGACATGTGGCCTCCGGGTGGGCAGCGCTGTTCTCAAGGGGCCTGGGGTCGGCATTTGTGGCCTCCCAATCTGCCAGTCTGCAGTCCCAGGGCTGGGTAGCTTACAGAGACTGTCCTTGCCCTCAGGTGACTCTGGGGGACAGCCCCAGTGGAGACCTCTTTACCTGCCACATCTGCCAGAAGACCTTCACCTACCAGCGCATGCTGAACCGCCACATGAAGTGTCACAACGATGTCAAGAGGCACCTCTGCACCTACTGTGGGAAGGGTTTCAATGACACCTTCGACCTGAAGAGACACGTCCGCACCCACACTGGTGAGTGGAGCCCCGAGGGTGGGTGCCTGCTGGAGGCCACATGGGAATCTGCAGCAAGGCCTGCCGTCTGGGAGATGGGCAGGCTCCGGGAGGGGCGTCTCGGAGCTCAGGCCAAAAGTGCCCCTCAGCTTGGCAGTTAGGTCACCTTGTCCCCAGAGTCAGGCAGCATGGCCTTTCTGTGTCCCGGAAGCTGCCCCGGGTCCCTGATGCCCAGCCCTGTCCTCCTTGCAGGCGTGCGGCCCTACAAATGCAGCCTGTGTGACAAGGCCTTCACGCAGCGCTGCTCGCTGGAGTCTCATCTCAAGAAGATCCATGGCGTGCAGCAGAAGTACGCGTACAAGGAGCGGCGGGCCAAGCTGTACGTGTGTGAGGAGTGCGGCTGCACGTCCGAGAGCCAGGAGGGCCACATCCTGCATCTGAAGGAGCACCACCCCGACAGCCCGCTGCTGCGCAAGACCTCCAAGAAGGTGGCCGTGGCGCTGCAGAACACCGTCACCTCCCTGCTGCAGAGCAACCACCACCTCTGAGTGGCCTCGCCACCCTGCTGCTGGGCCGGCCACCCTCCTGCGGCCCCTTGCTGGAACACGTGCCCCCTCACGCCCCGGACTCACCTCTGCTTGTGTTCGCATTGGTGTGTGACGGGTGGAGGCTGAGCCGAGCCCGGGCAGATGTAAGTCTGGGGTGAGGGGCAGGCTGGGACTTCCGTCCCAGAGGAGGTGTGGCAGGGCGGCCCTGTGACCTTCCCCCTGGAGCACAGGGGCGGGGAGTGCTGGCCCCTCACCGACGGCAGTGACAGGATCACTGGCAAAAAGCACTCTGAACTACCGTGGCAGCAGCGGAGCAGGTGATGACCTGCTTGGCAGTGGTCCTAACGCCCAGGGCCGCCGGGGCTCGGCCCTCCGAGGGGATGCGGACGTGGGCGTGGCTTTGATCTGTGCGCGTGCGCACAGAGGAGGGCTTTCCATATATCACCTCATTTTTTAAAATCAGTGACAAGATGCCAAGGAAACTTTCCTTTTTTTTAAGATGGCAAATGTACAGATATTAATATATTTTTGGTGCCAACGATGACTATTTTTAAGTGAGAACAGAGCTGGCTTATCTCCCTCCCCTTGATGTCCTATTTATCCAAGGATTTTACACCCCTGGGCTGAGGCTCTGGGGCAGCCGCCCCGTCCCACTGCAGGGTGCTGCCTGCGGCGTTGGGCCTGGGTCCGTCCTCTGCTGGGGGGACCCACCACCCCGGCAGAAAGGGCAGCCTATCTCGTCTGTTCTTCCCTCCCGCACCCTACCTCGGCGAGCCTGGGCCTCCTCATCTCCTGATGCCAGACCTTTTGTGGAACAGCTCACCGTTCTGGGGGTCAAGGACTTGCCCAGCTAGAGCTTGAGGGGTGAGCCAGGTGGACTGCATCTCCAAGACGGCCGGCAGCGCTGAGGAAAAACCCCTAGGACAACAGCCAAAAACTGGACAGAGTGTCAACCAGACACATCAGCAACCTGGGGAGGGAGGACGGTATTAGATGGCTAGTAAGTTAATATTTGTAACTTTCTTTCTGACAGTTAATAAGTTATATTTGTAGCTTCTTTTCTGTTTTTGGAATAGCAAGGCTGGGTCTCGAGCCCCTAAGGAGAGAGCTGCCATCTCTGGGCCTGTTGGCTCCACCTGAGGCTCCCCTGGCTTGGCTGGGTTTCCTGTTAATAACAGGAAAGGAGGTTGGGCCCAAGGGGAGAGCTGGGCGGGGGCGGGAGCCAGCCTGCTGGGCCGCCCCTGAAGCCAAAGCCCAGGCAGAAGGAGCCCAGGCCAGGGAGAGCAGCAGCGGCACAGGCCCCACCGAGGGCCGGGGCCTCGCCTACTCCCTCCGAATGGAAGACTCTTGTTTTACTTTAGAGCGTGTGGGAGTTGCTGTGTTCTGGAAGTGCTATAGGATAAAACAACATGATCTGGAAGCTTTGTTTGTTTACATGTGTGTATCCCTGTGTTCGTTGCCAACCGGAGGGTGTCACAAGGCTCTGTGTTATCTATTTTATTTTGTAACCTTCTCCCCAGCTATTAAAATCAAAGAAACCTTTTCTGTCTCTGCTTTTTCTTCTTATAGGTCTCTTCTTCCACTTGCATGAAAATTCATCAAAAATGATTGATAGATTCTACTCAAAGCTTTACCCTTTCACGGTTACCAGTGGCCTCAGACAAGGACCTGACCCAGACAGATAAAGCGGTCTGCTTCTGGTCTGGGCAGTCAATGCCTGCTGACCCCGGGCTGCGGCGGGACCGCCCCCCACCCCGCACCAGCCACGGGCCTCTCTTCACCTGCCTCACGCTCCCACATCCTGACACATGCTTGGCTCCCCACTGGGCTGCTGCCTTCCCTGAGGGTCCAGCCTGGCTCTTCTTCCCAGCAGCCTGCTAGGACCGCAGGAGGAAGAGCCACTTCCCAAATAATAGGACACAAAGTTCATGTCACTTCTGGGCCAGAAACCTAGCTGTAGGGAGGGCCCCGCCTGCGTAGCACTTGTCCTGTGCCAGTCATGCTCGAATGTAATCACATTAGCTCACTTGATCTTCCAGCCACCCTCTGAGGTGTGGGGTATCAGCACCTGGCAGAGCGAAGGTAGGCAGGTGGCCCAGAGTCTACCAGCAGTGGAGCTGGACCCAAGCCGGACGGGCTCGGGCCTCTGCTGGGAAGCACTGTGCACATCGCGGGGCAGGGACCTCGAGGCGATTCAAAGTAGAAGGAGGTTTAGAGCTGACCCGATCTTCCCCGTTACCTACCCAGAGTGTCTCAGGGAGACCTGCTTGCTCTGGGGATGCGGGAACCCAAGTCCCAGTTCAGTGTTCAGTCCCATTGCTGCCAGACAGACGTGGAGGAGGGGGGGAGGAGGGGGGAGCTGCAGGCCTGGGCCCTTGGCGTGAAGTCCTGGGAGGGAGGCGTGAGGAGGGCCGGCGCTTTGGTGCTGTGAGAACAGAACACACCGATCTGACCTCTCAGGCTCCCAGAGAGCAGCTCTGAGAGGTGGCAAGGGCCACTAAGCAACCTTCTGTCTCTTCGAATAGCCAGGCACAGAGGACGCCTCTTCATCTCTACAAGCCCCAGTGTGAAGGGCTGACCAAATCCTACTTTTACACGTCCCAAGAGGAGCGGAGCCCCTTGTTGGGAACCCAGATGATTGACTGCTATGTAAACTTCAGGAGGAGCTGGAGACAAGCTTCCGGGAAGCCAGAGTTGGGGATGGGGAGGGGTCCTAGGACTCCCTCTGGGCTCTGCTCTCTCCCACTCCTCAGAAAAGCTCAAGGGTGGGACACCACTCGGACGAGCCCCTCGTCAGCAGGCTCAGGCTGGCCCCATGTTAAGAGCCCATAATGATCGCTAGACTTCGTAGGATGGGTGCCACAAGGGGAACAAGGGAAGCCTGGGAGTTCCCCCACTGACCGGGAAACCGGCCGGTCCAGGGGAGGGAGGTGGTTAGTGCAAGTCAGTGTACAGCCGAGGACAAACGGTGTGGCCGGGCTTCAGATGCAATGAAACCCGAAAAAGAGTCTTGTAAATGAAAGGACAGACTCTTAGAAGCAATGGGACCCAGCAGGGCTGGGCAATGGAGGATCCGAATAAAACAAATGAAGAAGGAAGCTGTTTTGGGGAGGAAAACAGGAGCCAGGAGGTGGGCAGAGGGCCTGCCTCAGAGACACCGTGGGCTGGGCTCCAGACTACCTCAATTAAGTATCGAGATAACATAAATTGTAATCTTTTCGCTGGTGGAGGGCCCTGCCTTCAGTTTGTAAAAAACACAACATCTGTGAAGCAGAGTCCAACAAAACGGGTGTGTCTGCGTCAGCCCCAACGATCTGAGTGCGTGTGCCATTGAGTCGGTCACCCAAGGGCATGTTTTGACCCTGCCCAGGTGCCAATAAGAACTGGTAACAAAACAAGATTATAAGAGAGAGGGGAGCTGGCTGGGACTGAGCAAGAGGGTCTTACTGAGAATGAATTTTTTAAAAGATTTTATTTATCTTTAGAGGAGGAGGGAAGGAGAGAGGGAGAGAAATATCAATGTATGGTTGCTTCTGGTGCACTCCCTGCTGGGAACTGGCCTGCAACCCACAAATGTGCCCTGACTGGGAATCGAACCGTGATCGTCTGGTTCACAGGCCCACGCTCAATCCACTGAGCTACGAGAATGAATTTTTAAACCAAAAAACAAAGCAACCAAGTGCAGGGTGGGGGAACTTTACAACGAGAAGTGCTATAAAGGTGTATACTTTATATTTTTATGTATTTTCTATGTTTTATACAATGAGCATATATTATTTTTACAATCAGGGGAAAATTAAGTTATAAACAATTTAGGGGGTTTTAGTCGATTGGAAATTCAGCATGTCAACAGGGAGATGGGGCTGCCCCCCGAAAAGCTGCCGGGGTCTGGGACCATAACAGAAGTGTGGCGACGAGGCCGCCTCCCTCCGCCCCGGGCTGCTCGCCGGGCCCTGCTGGCCGGGGAGCAGACACAGACGGGTGAGGCCCAGCCCTGCCCGGCTGTCTGTGTGGCCTTGGGCAAGTGGCCTATCCTCTCAGTTCCTCATCTGTTAACTGAGGTGGGTTCCGGAGTTCAAAAGTCCTTCTCTATTATAAAGACTCTCTGTCTCTAGCACCCCCCCCCAATAAAGCCATTTAAGACACTCCCTGACAAACCACAGCGGTGAGTGAGGAGGAGGCTCTGAAGGCTGAGAAGCTGACCTGCGAGTGGGAACATGGCTGCCGGGTTGAAGCAGAAGGAAAGGCCATTCCAGCGGTTCTGGGGCAGAACCTGGGCCAGGAGGGGAGGGTCTGAGGGGAGCAGACTCCCCTGCAGGGAGGTGCGCACACACACACACACACACACACACACAGACACTGCTTGTCCCGGTGGGGGGAGGGGGAGGGCAGGGCCTGGGAGCTGTCACTGGCCGGCCAGGCCTGGAAGCCTCGAGTTAGCAACCCCTATGGGACTCTGGCATGGGGTTGAAGGCCCAACAAAAGCATCTTCAAGGTTCTTTCCACCCACAAAATTCTAAAAGGTCGGAACAAAGTCTGATGGCCACGACTTCCAGGCTAAATCGGCTCCCTACTAGAGCAGGAAAGGGAAGGAGCGCTCCAGCAGGAGTGAGGCCAGGCAGCAGGCTCTTCTGTACTCTCTGAACTTGGGGCTCTGAAGACGTTGACTCACCCTGGGCAGGGGCTCCCCTCTCAGGGCCGTGCGCTCTGGCCCCTCCCCTGGGGCCACCCAGGACCAGTCCACTTCCTCAGGTGAAGGCAGTCGCCGACACAGGCTGTCCCAGACCCTCCACGTCTCAGACCAGTCTGGCCTCCTTTCCTCATGCCCGCCCTGTCCCCAGTTCTAGAGTCTGTTTCGAAACTCCAGTCCCCAAGCCCTGAGCCAGTGCCTCCCAGCTCTCCTAGTCCCTGTAACCCATCAGTTCCCCCCTCAGTCCCCCGCTGAGGTTGCCCTCCTTGCCTGGCAGCTCTCCTCCTGGGCGGTAGGCTCGCCGACCCCGGGGGGTCGGGCCCCACACCGCTGCCGGCCGGCACTGGAGGCTGTCCGGGTGGCACTCCTGGCCCTGGGCACGGGCCGCGCACTGAGAATCAGATCTGCCGGCTCCCGAATGTGAGGGCTGGGTTCACACGTGTGACTTCCTCTGCTCCTCACCTGTTCTCTCCACTTACAGTGGGTGAGAGCACCACTGCCACCCGGGCCAGTCTTTCAAAGTGGAATAAAACACAGACCGGGAACCAGACAACGCGCTCTGAGATGGCAGTGTGGGCAGCCAGTGGCGCTCCATACCCTGCCTGAGTGTCAAACGCAGGCACCCCACTGTGTCTTCAGACCCCACCTCTGACGTCAGATTTCAGGGGCAGCTAACCTGCCCCCCCATCACCACCAGGAGAAAACCTGGGCAAAGCTGCCCAGGGCAGGGAGCCAGTGAGTGCCACTGGCCTGGCTGCTGGGCCACACTGCCCGTGAGCGGTGCCACGGCAGCCCGTGTTATTCCCCAGGGCAGAGGGACCACAGCACTCGGGGCAGGAGAGCACCCGGAGGGAGGCTCCTGGGGCACTGAGAGACACCAAGACGCTGGGGACGGGCAAAGCAACCCTGGAGTCCTGGGGAAGAGTGTTGGCTCTAGGCACGCGGCAAACAGTCCTGTAATGTCGGCTAATCACCACCTCCACATACGGAGCACCTACTAGGTGCAGGAGCTGCCCTTCTCTCTGATGTCATCACTAATCCCCACAACCCTGGGAGGTAGTTATTACTGTTCCTATTTTCAGACAGGGAAGTTGAGGCTGGGGAGTTTCACCGTCTTGCTCAAGGTCAGGCGGATAGTAAGGGGTGAGGCCAGCTTCTGGCCTGAGGGCTTTTGGACTCCGGAGGTGGGGCTCTCATCTTTCAAATTAGCAGCGATTGTGGAATGGGAGACTCTTTAAGGCCTGCGTTTAGGAACCCTTCACACCTACTCGGTGCCAAGCACCTGGAACACAAAGATGAATAGGGACTGGGCCCCCCACCGGTGGGGGAAGCATCTGTGGCCAGTCAGTGAGTAAAAGGGACAGGCGCAGTAGTCATCATGTCAACAGAGTCAAGACAAGGGACAGGGGAAGCCCGACACAGTTGAGCACCGCACACCATTCATCTGGTGTGTGCGCCCTATTACCGTCTCTGCCTGCAGACCAGGAAAGTGGAGCCGGAGGAGCCGACGACCCGCCACAGCTACCACGGCCACCTGGCAGCTGGGACCGGCTCTGTGCAGAGCGTCACACTGTCTTCCCAAGAAATACGAGAAAGAGTGTCCTGGAAACACTGAAGCCCAACTGAGGGAAAAAAGGCAAAGTCTTCGGAGGGAATAGCAAGGGGTCCGAGAGTGTCAGGGTCTAGCTCATGCCACAGAAATGCCGGGTGTGCCCGCTCCTGCTCGAGCAGCAGCCACTGCAGTCTGGAACATTCCGGTCAAACCTGGAGGACGGGCACGAGGGGCCTGGGCAAGCGCCAGGACATCCCAAACCCGGAGGAGCTCTGACAGGGGCTCCC